GAAAGCCCCTTGAGATCAAAAGATCTCTTTTTCAAGGGTGACCTGCAGCACATTGGTTACACATGTAACATAAAAACAACAGAACAACAATAAGGACGACATACAACATAAATTACAGGGTACATTTTACAAACTCAATTCACAGTGACAGGTACCATGAGTATCAAACAGCATGTCATCCAGCCAAGTTTTAAAATGATGCAGGGGAACCAAAGTGCTCAGTTTGAAACATTTTTGCAGACTGTTCCAAGTTAGTGGAGCTGCACAACTAAAAGCGTTCTTCCCTAAGACAGTCCTAGCACTTGGCACATTTAATAAAACCACATCATGAGATCTCAGGCAATAACTACTCTCAATTCGTCGAGAGATCAGAGAGCAGATATAAGAAGGTAGTTTACCCAACATGGCTTTGTAGATGAACATGTACCAATGACTGAGCTTCCGAACAGTTAGTGAAGGCAGACCTGCCTTGGCATACAGGGTACAGTGATGAGTAAGTGCTAGTCCTAGTACTAGACTCCTGGGGCTAGACTCCTGGTGCTAGACTCCTGGTGCTAGACTCCTGGCGCTAGACTCCTAGTGCTAGACTCCTAGTGCTAGACTCCTGGTACTAGACTCCTGGGGCTAGACTCCTGGTACTAGACTCCTGGTGCTAGACTCCTGGTGCTAGACTCCTAGTACTAGACTCCTGGTACTAGACTCCTGGTACTAGACTCCTAGTTCTAGACTCCTGGTACTAGACTCCTAGTTCTAGACTCCTAGTACTAGACTCCTGGTACTAGACTCCTAGTTCTAGACTCCTAGTACTAGACTCCTGGTACTAGACTCCTAGTGCTAGACTCCTGGTACTAGACTCCTGGGGCTAGACTCCTAGTGCTAGACTCCTGGTACTAGACTCCTGGTGCTAGACTCCTAGTACTAGACTCCTGGTACTAGACTCCTAGTGCTAGACTCCTGGTACTAGACTCCTGGGGCTAGACTCCTGGGGCTAGACTCCTGGTGCTAGACTCCTGGTGCTAGACTCCTGGTACTAGACTCCTGGTACTAGACTCCTGGTACTAGACTCCTAGTTCTAGACTCCTAGTACTAGACTCCTGGGGCTAGACTCCTGGGGCTAGACTCCTAGTTCTAGACTCCTGGTACTAGACTCCTGGTACTAGACTCCCAGTGCTAGTCTCCTGGTACTAGACTCTTAGTACTAGACTCCTGGTACTAGACTCTTATGCCCCTTTCACACCAACGCAACTCCGGTTCAAGCTCCGTGCTAGAGCTTTTCTGGTTCAGAACCGGTTCTTCGGTTTAGCGCCGGCTCTTTTCACACCGCTCAGAGCCCGACTGGTGCTGCCGCTGCTGCGTCATGACGTCACAGTTTACGTCGCTGAGTTTCTCCCCAACGCCGGAGCTCACCTCACAACAACAACGGGCCGGGGACTGCGTCGGGTCGATGATCGTGTTGCTTTTAATCATACGAAGCCAGATTAAATTAAATAACGACTTCTCCAACCTTATACTTTTCTCCAGAGTGCCGTGGTTCATTGTTTATTAATGTGTTTCAGCGGCATTTACCGACCGCTGCAGTGCTGGCTGCTCTTCCACGGGAGTGTATTCTCCCGTTAGCTCCGGGTTAGCTCACACGGCTCTAAAGTATTCACTGTCTGACTGTCACACAAGCAGCTGATACATATCCCCAGTTCCCCTTAAGTGAATGTGTGTCAGTCTGAATTGACACTGTTTGGTGTCAGTCTGAATTGACGCTGTTTGGCATCACAACGCTGTTATCAAAGTTTCTCTGGTATAACATGGGTGATGTTAGCATAGCAACCGAAGCTAAACTGACTACTTGCTAAGCAGTTTTCTACAGGCACTTTTTACCGACGTATTTTTCATTATGATTCTACTTGTGATAGTCGGACATGACAACCTGTGCAGCCCATGTATTGATTCCATCCGATAGCTGCTATAATAACAAACAAAACGTCTGCCTGCTCTCCACAATGATCAATAACAGCGAACGGATGGTCAAAGTAAGGTACAAATAAACAGAATCACACGAAGCCTGGTTAGTGTTGCCTGACTTTATAAAGCGTGTTTTTTTTAACAAGTGTGTGGTTGCGTTCTAGTCACTTTGCTCAGCACTACTGCTTGTTACAACTTTTATTTGCCGTACTCGCCTTAAGTGTTAGCTCAGGTTAATCTCGCCCCCCTCCGACGTATGCGGTTCTTGCTTCTAGACGGACAACTTTTTGGTGCTCGAAACGAACCGGATTCCGGAGCTATGACGCTGCTCCGCTGCGGTGTGAACAGGAAAACCCGGTGCTTTTCAAGCACCAGCACCGAACCGGCCCTGAAACACCGTTGGTGTGAAAGGGGTATTAGTACTAGACTCCTGGTGCTAGACTCTTAGTACTAGACTCCTGGTGATCAGTGGCGGCGCCAGAGCATTTTTGTTGGGTAATCTATGGTAGGGCTAACCCATACAGTGGTGGTGCTCAAGTCAGTATTTGCAATGTAATTACATACACGCTATATCGCCCCCCTTGACAGTGAAACGCCACGCGTGAGGTTTAGATTATTTCCCTGTCTCAATCAAAATGGAACTGTATGAAATAAAACGGCACATTTGTCTTGTAGTAAATAAAAAGGGATCACTGTGAACGTGACGTATGATAGTACACGTTGAAGATCCAATGGGGATACTGAATGGCGGTTTCGATTGATCTCAATCAATAAGGCATGACGCAGATCCAACGTTGCGTTGCTCTGATTGGCTGTAGGTCTATTCAAATTGCATTCGGAGGCATTTTGATCTGACCGCGGCCGCGCTGATATTATAACGCCAGAGAATTTCCACACCTTTAGTGTATAAAACTCCCCCACTACTTAGACTATTCCTTGCACCCCTCTTATAGCATAAACCCGAATGGTCTCAACCATATTGCATCAGTAACGTGCACTTGTTGGCCCAATCCCAAACCGCCCCCTACACCCTACCCCTACACACTACCCCTCCGTTTGCGCTTTCGCGCGGAGGGTCCGCCACATTAAGTGCTGTTCCAAACCAACGAGTGTGGAGCGGTGTGGAGGGGGAGTGGGCTATCAAGCCCTCAAACAGCGAGTCTGCATCGGTGCTGACTTGAGACTGGTCTCTACCTGACCGGAGTCACGCTGTGTGTGTCCGTCAGGAAACATGCTGTTTACAAGTAGTTCCAGCAAACATCCACTGATAAACTGCGATGTTAACAACCTCATGATAACCTCATATTTTTTTAACTTAGGATCATACCTGTGTTTAGTCTAGAAAAAGGTCAATGTGTGCAATTTATTATAAAGTTGTGTATATTTACAGACTGTTGCAAAAACTAAGAAGCTTATAAACATCAGGTTTAAAACTAAAAGAGCTTTACAAAAAAGTAACACAATGAAAGATGTTTGGAGTTTTATTTGAGTTCTTAATTTACATTTTTTGTCTAAGAGATGCTGATTTGAAACCGTTGTTACATACAGTTACGGCATTTCCTGTTTCTGCCGGAGAGAGGGGAGTTTGTCCCAAAGCTTGCCGCTGTATTTACTCCCTCCATCTGACAGGAGGGAGCCTCGTTGAGCTGCGAGTGTGGCTACAGACGGAGTTCACTCCGTCACGGAGGGGTAGGGTCGAGGGAGTGGTTTGGGATTGGGCCGTTGTTACAGCAGGATCAGTTTGTGTGCTGTGGACACGACCCGTATATTTTCGCAATCCGTGTTCTCAACATTTAGCATTTCGCTTATTATTTAATTGAATTTGCATCACTTTTCATGGTGGGGCTAAGGTGGGGCTAAGCCATTTCTTGGTATGGCTGTAGCCTACCCCAGCCATACCCTGGCGCCGCCACTGCTGGTGATAGACTCCTGGTACTAGACTCTTAGTACTAGACTCCTGGTGCTAGACTCTTAGTACTAGACTCCTGGTGATAGACTCCTGGTACTAGACTCCTGCCGATAGACTCCTGGTCCTGGATGGGTTAAATGCAGAGAACACAGTTCACTGTGTGTGCTGTGTGCTCTGCATGTGTGACCATTTAAGAGGGTTTCATCCCTCCCATTTCTGTATTAAAGCAGTTTGAATATGATATCTCTGGTGCTTTAACAGCATATCATGAGTCATATCCAGACTGATCAGAGTAATAAAACCAGCACCTTGAACCCTGAAGCAGCTGGTAATCAGTTCAGACCTCAGACGATAAGACGACGGACCAAAGTCTCCAAGAGTTTCACTCGGAAGAAAAGATAAAAGAAATACAGAAATAAATCTGGTTTGGATTCCATATTTAGGAATAAGATATGAGCTTCTTCTTATTGATCGGAAACTCTAACAGCTTCATGAATATATATATTTATGTAAGAAATACATGAGTTTTAGAGCAGCTTCTCTGGGCTTTAAATAACATCCAGAACAATATAAATGTCAGCTGGAAAAACACAAAACTTTATTGATCCCAATTTTAATAAAATAAAAATATATTAGCGAATATATAAACATCAATAATGAAGGATTTACGAATATATATTGAATACACAATTTAAATATACAAAGATATGATGAAATCACAATATAAATATCCAAATATATGATTAATACAAATATATAATTAGTACACAATATAAATATATAATGAATACACAATACAAATATACAGAAAACATGTTGTAGGTTTCTGAAAGCCAACATGTTTAATTAAATATCATGCAATGGTCCAAATGACATTTTAATCGATGTTTTAATGGAATAATTTGGCCTAAATTAGATTTATAAGGACTGATATAAGAGAGGGGAGTTAAAGCAAAGGTTGATCGATATAATAATAACAGAATGATCAGATTGTATCTCGTTTTAACGATGAATAAACTCCGCATTTAATGGTAAATAACGTCCGTCCGTATTCCTCTTCGGCCGCTTCCGTCCTTCACAATAAAGCTCCACACATCGTTCCGCTGCGTTAACTAACTCCCTGCGCGTGCTTTTATTTTGGCAGCAGCCACCGGAAGCAGTTAGCTCAGTTTAGAACGCTTTGGTGTTGTTCTAAGATGGCTGCTGCTGCTGTTGTCCGGGATGCGGAGTGATCATCCAGAAGCAGGCCGAGGAAACGCTGACGTCTGACCGAAAACAGGCACCGAAACCCGGCTGCAGCTCGACCGGGACCGCCCTGAAGCTCCGGGTCTGATTCTTCCCTGAAGGTAGACCCTGTCCTCGGTACCGTCTGATTGACTGATCGCTCGGTTTATATATTCATCATCATTATTATTATTAATATTAATATATAAGGTTAGTATTCATTATTATTAACGTTAAATTGAGTGGATTCTGCTCTGTGTCTGAAGGGGTTAATCATAGAGTCTGAAGGTTATTCAGGTTATAACGGGTTTACATGTAACGAGATGACGTCATCAGGAGACACAATTACATTAAAAAGAGATTAAAATGTTTGATATAAATAGAGATTATTATTATCAGGATTACAGAACAATTAGAAATAAAGATATGTTATAGGTAGCCGCACTGAAGAATCAGTAAACACCTGATTCAGTAAACACCTGATTCATTACTGATTCATTAAACACCTGATTCATTAACACCTGATTCAGTAACACCTGATTCAGTAACACCTGATTCAGTAACACCTGATTCAGTAACACCTGATTCATTAACACCTGATTCATTAACACCTGATTCAGTAACACCTGATTCAGTAACACCTGATTCATTAACACCTGATTCATTAACACCTGATTCATTAAACACCTGATTCATTAAACACCTGATTCATTAAACACCTGATTCAGTAACACCTGATTCATTAACACCTGATTCATTAACACCTGATTCATTAACACCTGATTCATTAACACCTGATTCAGTAACACCTGATTCATTAACACCTGATTCATTAAACACCTGATTCATTAACACCTGATTCAGTAACACCTGATTCAGTAACACCTGATTCAGTAAACACCTGATTCATTAACACCTGATTCATTAACACCTGATTCATTAAACACCTGATTCATTAACACCTGATTCATTAACACCTGATTCATAAACACCTGATTCATTAACACCTGATTCATTAACACCTGATTCATTAACACCTGATTCATTAACACCTGATTCAGTAAACACCTGATTCAGTAACACCTGATTCATTAACACCTGATTCATTAACACCTGATTCATTAAACACCTGATTCATTAAACACCTGATTCATAACACCTGATTCATTAACACCTGATTCAGTAAACACCTGATTCATTAACACCTGATTCATTAACACCTGATTCATAAACACCTGATTCATTAACACCTGATTCAGTAAACACCTGATTCATTAACACCTGATTCAGTAAACACCTGATTCATTAACACCTGATTCATTAACACCCTGATTCATTAACACCTGATCAGTAAACCTATATTAACACCTGAATTGCATTAACACCTGATTCATTAACACCCTGATTCATTACACCTGATTCATTAACACCTGATTCATTAAACACCTGATTCATTAACACCCTGATTCATTAAACACCTGATTCATTAACACCTGATTCAGTAAACACCTGATTCATTAACACCTGATTCAGTAAACACCTGATTCATTAACACCTGATTCAGTAAACACCTGATTCATTAACACCTGATTCAGTAACACCTGATTCATTAACACCTGATTCATTAACACCTGATTCATTAACACCTGATTCATTAACACCTGATTCATTAACACCTGATTCAGTAAACACCTGATTCATTAACACCTGATTCAGTAAACACCTGATTCAGTAAACACCTGATTCATTAACACCTGATTCAGTAACACCTGATTCATTAACACCTGATTCAGTAAACACCTGATTCATTAACACCTGATTCATTAAACACCTGATTCATTAACACCTGATTCATTAACACCTGATTCATTAACACCTGATTCATTAACACCTGATTCATTAACACCTGATTCATTAACACCTGATTCATTAAACACCTGATTCATTAACACCTGATTCATTAACACCTGATTCATTAACACCTGATTCAGTAAACACCTGATTCATTAACACCTGATTCAGTAAACACCTGATTCATTAACACCTGATTCAGTAACACCTGATTCATTAACACCTGATTCATTAACACCTGATTCATTAACACCTGATTCATTAACACCTGATTCATTAACACCTGATTCATTAACACCTGATTCATTAAACACCTGATTCATTAACACCTGATTCATTAACACCTGATTCATTAACACCTGATTCATTAACACCTGATTCAGTAACACCTGATTCATTACACCTGATTCATAAACACCTGATTCATTAACACCTGATTCAGTAAACACCTGATTCATTAACACCTGATTCAGTAAACACCTGATTCATTAACACCTGATTCAGTAACACCTGATTCATTAACACCTGATTCATTAACACCTGATTCATTAACACCTGATTCAGTAACACCTGATTCAGTAACACCTGATTCAGTAACACCTGATTCATGTAAGGAGCCGTGTGCGTGTTAAAGTGTGTATACGACACTATTGTTCATATGTCCGTTACATGTTTATAATAAATAGGGCGTTGCCATAGGGGATAATTCATTGATTGCTATTTTCTACATAACACCCACTGTAATTACACCCATCATGCTACATGTGAATTCACCTGTATCACACCTGTTCAAACCCCTGAAAGACCCCATTACTCTGTTATTAGACCCGTTGTAACATATACAAGAAAAACACAACAAATAGAAACACAAGAAAAACAACAAAGAGATTCATAAAGAAGCTGCAGCCTGGTTGGTCTCTGGAGGTCACATGATGCAGGTCTGAGCTCTGGTTGGCTGCTGGTGTAACCGTGGCGACAGTAAATCTTCCCTGAGTGTATTGAAGTGATATCAGCAGAGCCCAGAGAGAGCAGTGCATGCTGGGACATTAAACGGCAGACAGTAGGTGTTAAAATCCTCGGCAACACGTCTGCAGATCTGACGTGAGATCAGTTGATGTATTTATAATATTTACCATCTGGAGGAGCTTCAGGAGCAGGAGAGCACCGGCTGCTCCCACGAGGTGTTAGGGACTCAAACCCACGTTTATGATCCTATAACAGTCAGACATGGACTCAGCATCATCACCTTCCTACAGGCCTGCACATTAGAGTTATGTTACAACAGAGGGGTTTAGTCTCAGGTATCATGTGTGGTGTGTGTGTGTGTGTGTGTGTGTGTGTGTGTGTGTGTGTGTGTGTGTGTGTGCGCAGACGGAGCAGCAGCAGACAGCATGGACACCACCACCTCCATCAAGATGACCACGCTGGCCATCCAGAACCTGTTCAGCTACGTGAG